CCCCGCCGAGGCCGCGGCGCTACCACTCGCGCCGCCCCTCCCCCACCGCAGAGCCAGCGCGAGCCTCCGCACCTCCCCCGCTCCGGCAGCCTCAGGTCCCGGAGACACCGCCCCCACAAACCGGGCTGCAGCCGCGGAGCTCTATGGGGGCTGGAGTCCGCGAGGCGGCCTTTGTGCGCCTCAGAGGCGGAGCTGGGACTACTACTCCCACAATGCTCCGCGCCCTTCCCCGCGCCTTCGGCTTCCCGTCGCCCACAGACTACATTTCCCGACAGCCCTCGCGGCTCTCCCGCCCTCCCTCCCGAGACACGAGCCGAACTGGGCGTCAGGTCGGGGAGCGGGTCGGGTTCCCGCTCGCCGCCGCCGCCGCCCCCCGCAGAGACTCTCCCGCCTCTCCCACCGCGCCGGCCGGAGGAGCTGCATCGCCAACTCTGCTCGGCCGTGGAACCGCCGGCCCGGGAGCACTGAGCCCGGGACGCAACGCGCCGAGCCCCCTCATCACCTCCAGCCGGGGCGACCCCTCCCGGGTCCGCCCTCGCTCTGCGCGGCCGCCGGAGCCCCCAGCCCTGAGCGGCTCGGTGGCCCGGCGCCCGCATCCCGGGCCCCTGCACTCCCGTAGCCGCCGCCCCCCACCCTGAACATGGACTCCGACTCTTGCGCCGCCGCCTTCCACCCGGAGGTGAGTGAGGGCTGCGTCCCGACCGCCCCCGACCCACCCCCACTCCAGTCCTGCGCTCCCGGCAGCCGGACCCCCGCCGGCCGACCGCCGCCCTCCCCTCCCCCAGCCTTCCCTCGTCGCCCCCTTGGGCGCCCAACCCCGCCCCCCACTCGGGCCCGCGCCCCGTTCTCCCTGCCGGCCCTCGCCTCGGCGTCCCTGCCGCGGGTGTCCGCGTCCTCCCGGCGCCTCTTCCCTCGGGCCGCCGCGCCCACCCTTCCCCGGCCTCGCGTAGCCCCGGGACCTGTCTGGGCCCCCGGCCTCTCCCCGCCGGCTTGGCTTACTCCTTCCCTGCCCCCGGGGACTCGGTCCCAGCCGCCGCCGCCTCGCGTTCCCGCTTCTCTTAGGAGCCCCTCCCCCCCTCCCGGAGGGGCTCGCGGTCCCCCTCGGACGGGGACTCCGCTCCGCGCGCCCCCGCCTTCTCCCTTAATCCCCGGGCCCGGTAGTCCGCGCCCCGCCCCCTGACTCCCGCGCGGCCCCCGCCCCCTCCGGCGCCGGGGGCCTAGTCCTGCCGGGTCCCCACCCCCGTAAACACCCGAGTCGAGCCCCCCACCCTCGGCACTCTCTCCTCCCCCTCCGGGGCCCCCGCCCCCCGGCCGCGGGCTCTCTCGCCCCGCCCCGGCTCCCCCTCCTTCCGGGGATCGGCCCTCGGTTCTCCCGGGCGGCCCCTCTGGCGCCCCCGCCTCGGTCCCTTCTCCCTCCGGAGGCCCGCGGGGCTGGGGTGCGGGTC